TTTTATTAGTAACATTAGTATTAGAATTATTTACAATTTAATAACTATTCTCTTCAGTCATAATTTGAAAGTTATGGTATGGATTTTTGGTGGAGGTTTTTATTCCGGAAGTCCATCGTTATTGCTTTATGACGGTAAAGCATTAGCGATTAAAGCCGATGCAATTATTATCAACATCAATTATCGACTGGGTCCATTTGGTTATCTGTATTTTGATCATGAAGATGCACCAGGAAATGTTGGAATGCTTGATCAGGTAGAAGATTCTTGCACATTTATACCACACAGCGGCAGTGAACTAAAGCAACAAAAAAACAAAAGTTTTTATTTTTGTTTTAAAAAAACTGCTTATCCTCTATTAAAGTGGTTATTTGTTTCTTTGTTTCTGTTTCTTCCTTCTTTATTTTTATTTTTATTTTTTTTATTTTTTTGTCTATTTTTGCAATCAAAGAAATTGTTTTAGAAATCGTTTTGCTGTTTACATAAGTCAAAGCAATTTTATTTATTTCTTTATTTTTGCTTTTTTTCCTCCCTCTCTCTTTGCCATTCTTCTTCTCCAAAAAAATCATTTCTTGAAAAATCAAAAACAAAGATAGAAACGAAAAAAAAAAAGTAAATGTTGAGAAAAAAAGGTTGTTTTTTTTTTTGTTCAGAAAAGATTAAAAAAAAAATCAGCAAAAACAAAGTAAAATTAATTTACTTTACTGAACGTTATCGCTGAAAAAACATTTAGCAACTGGCATTAACATGGATAAAAAAGCATGTATCGGCATTTGGCGGTGATCCATCGCAGATAACGCTGTTTGGCGAATCTGCAGGTGCATCGTCTATTGTTGCACATATGATTGCACCAGGTAGTCGAGGCTTGTTCCGTAACGGAATTTTACAATCCGGAAGTTTGGATAACAACTGGGCAATGGTATCACCAACTGAAGCGATGAACAGAAGTCGAGCTTATGCTAGGCGATTAAAATGCGAAAAAAACGATGTAAATTATTGGTGTTTTCTTTTGAAAGTTTTGCAATCAACAGCTCTCAATTAACACATAGAATTTTTTTGTTGATAAGTGTTTGTAATTGCAGAACTAATAAAATATGTACAGTTTATTTTGTTTCATTTTCTGCTTTTCTTTTTTTTTTTTTTCTTTTGGACAATCACATATCTTTTGTTTATAAGCTGTTAAGTTGATGTTTTGTAAAGCTGATAGAGAAACCACTTAAAATTTACTTAGTTTAACCTGCAAGTTGATAGTTTTAGTCGGTTATAAAAACTTAAAAGATAAAGTTGCTAGAAAAAAAATATATTTTTTTTTTAAAACAAAACAAACAAATAATATGTTGCAAAAGAGAAAAATGTTTTTTTTCTTGAAACAAAACAAAGAAAAACAAAAAAAAACAGAAAATAGAAGACTGTTTTGATTTGCAGTAAAAGCGCAAAAAATATTAGGTCTATTCTTTTTTTTTTTTTTTGCACAAATTTTAGACAACTTTTTTTTTTTGCCACTATAATTTCAGTGTTTGTTAAATAATTTTGTTTTAGTTTAACTGAATTTAAAGGAGAGGAAAAGAAGTCAAAAAAAAAAAAAGCACATCTGCTAGTCAACAAAATTAAACATTTTCCAAAAAGATTTGATAATATCGACAATCACTTCAACTTTTCATGAATTTTTGCAAATTGATACTGTTGTTTACTTTTGCAGTCGCTCAACAACAGTACTTCAGATAGCACAAGCAACTGAATTTCAAAAATAACTGAATTATAATTTATGGAAAGCAATAATTAAAGAAAAATTTATTTATTTATCAAACACTGAAAAATATGTATCAATATTGTAACATTATAAACCTATAGTTTTGTGATAAAATTATACATTGGCTGATAGATGTCTGCCAATACATTCTCAAATTTTTTATTTTACAAGCAAGAAAGTTAAAACATTATTATTTTTTTTCAATATTATACACTGTTTATTCAGTCGTTGGTTATTGTACGGTAGTAAATTATTGTAGATTACAAAAATTTCAGAAATACATAACTTTTTTCTTTTAACACTTTATCTGTTTAGGTGGTTGAAACTATCAAATGTATGAGAGCAGCTCCAGCAGCAAATATGATTGAACGACAATGGGATGGACTAGGATTTTTAGACTTTCCAGTTGCAATTGTTTCTCGTGATCGTAATTTTTTCAAACATCATGATGCTTTTACAGCACTACGTATCGGTGATTATTCACACGATGTTAACATCATGATTGGAATAAACCATGATGAAGGTATTTGAACAGTTTTAAAACTTTGTTGTTTGGCAAAATAGTTGAGCAAAATACCAATGACAATGATTCAGTAATATTTTATAGGAGAAGGTTTTTTGAAAATTATATCTGAAAGTACAATTGAAAATTAACATGTTAATTATAGGTAACTTTTGGAATATCTATAATTTGCCAGAATATTTCGATACGGCAACACAGCCACTGCTCGACTATGAACAGTTTAAAGACTGTTCAGAAACTGCATTTGGTAAATTGCCGTCTGCATTTCGACGTGCTGCCATGTGGACATACAACCAAAACTGTAGTCAAATATGCACTAAAAGTAAAGTCTATGCTGATATGGTTAGTTTTTTTTTTGTTTATTTATTTTTTTTTTTTTTAGCTTATTTGATTATATTATATGAGAACATAATTTGTTTAACGTAGAAAGAAAATTTTATTTTGATTTTTCATGTACTATAAATCTGTTGAAGAAAAAAAAGAAAAAGGAATAAACTAGAAGCTAGAAATAAAATTTTAATAGCTGCTCAAAAGATGTTCATAAAAAATTACGAAAACGGGTCTGCAAACTTTACTGACGTTTATTGGTTGTAGATTAATCAAATGGTTGGAGATTTTTACTTTACCTGCGATAGTCTTTGGTTTGCTGACGAATATAAACGGATCGGAAGTGGAAAAATATATATTTATTATTTTGATCAACCGTCAAGGTGTATTTTTTTTTCGGGAAATAATTATCATATATTATCTGCAGAAAAAAAAAAAAAGGGAGGAAAAAGCTATAAGTTTATCAGCAATTAACAGATATTGCATGGCTTTTAAATAGCCAAAAACTGCTTTACATTTTAATGTCAACAACAAACCAATATACTAAAATTACTTTCTAAATTTTTCAAACACTGATTACATCAGTTTAATAGCAATCATTAATTAAACTGTTTTCTGCCACTAACTACTGATCTGCAAAAAACAAAAAAAAAAAATTTTTAATAATCAAAATTAGGTAAAAAAAATTTTTATACACTTTCAGTTGTCAAAAAAGTAATTGGCATCTCAGTGCTTCAGCACCTGTTTTATACAGTTAATTTTCTGATACTTAAGTTGTAACTTTTTACAGTGCAAATCCATGGCCAAAATGGACCGGTGTAATGCATGGTTATGAGGTCGAATTTGTCTTCGGTGTGCCTCTTTTCAATAAAACTGCCGGTTACACAACGCGTGAACTTCATTTTAGCGAAAAAATTATTGAATATTGGAAAAGTTTTGCTGAAACCGGGTAAACTGTTTTTATTTTATTTCATTTTTTTTTTTTGTTTTATATCAGTTTTTTTCTTTTGAAATGGTGTAAATTCTGACTGTTCCAAAATCGAAAAGAAAGTTGTTGAGATGTAAGGCTAATAAGATTGGCATTTTTCATATTACTGATTACTGTACTCAGTAATATCTAAGAAACTTTTCTTTTGACGGTAAAATATCAGCACAAAATTTTTTTCTGTTACTTCAAACTAAGATTACTGCACTGTAGAAGGCTTTAACAAAAAAAAA